TTATTCTGTGACTTGCTAGAATAAAAAACATAATTAGTACCCTTTGTGTTCTTGAAGATTATGTTATACGTCTGTGCTAAATTTCGAGAAGCGTTTAGCCTTTCTGGATTAGTAAGATTTCAATGCTCCGTGTAATTTAAAGATAAATGTTATTACTTACATCATTACTAATAACTTGGACACTTCAAAATATTAGTAGAGAGGTTTTACAACCCAGTTTTGTTTTATTCTAGTCGTAAATGTGATATACTGTGCGATTCTGTGAGATCGAACTAAATATAGACATTTAAATTTGTTATCTGTATCTGTTATATATAATTTGACACATTAATGTGTATATTATGCAAAGGGCCGTATCGTAGTTATCAAGTGAAGGCAATGGGAACCGAGGAAGCGTCAAAACACTCTGTGAATTATGCAAATGGATGTGACTTTATTGCGCCACGGCTGCGGCCGGCTGCTCGTCACCTCGTCACCTCGTCAATTGGTCGACAGTTTTATGGGATGGTACGTCAATTGGAAATTTCCAAAATTGCTGATTTCTTAATTGTAAATGTATGTATAACTAACTATGGTACCTTTTGGTATTTCGAAATCTAGATATGGTAGAAGATAACAATTAGTTTCTTAAACGAGTTGACATATCATTCACTTATAACGATGTTAAAGGCTTCCTTCCTCTAATCTATATATTAATGTCCTGGTCAGACCTGATAAATGTCCCTGGTCTCTTTGTTGTCCCGTTCAAAAGATTGTGAAAAAAATTATGCATGCATTTTATATGAAATGAAAAGTAGCACCGGAGACAGATTACCTTCTACATGTTTTCATTCATACACGTATTACGTGTAACAAAGTCGTGGAATTAAGTCTCCCTAATTGGTACTTCCTTGAGGAAATTAGTGATGTGCCTGTAGCGCCGTCTTCGTCGTGACACAATGAACTGAGATAGATGTCGCCACTACCAATGTCCCCATACTCGAAGAGATGAGTTATTACAAAAATGAGTTTTCGAGTTCGAGTTCTATTGATTGTAAATATTTTTTTTCTAGACTTTTTATTTACATTATTATAAGGTGACTAGTATAAGTAGCTTCTCATAATGTCGTTAATAATTTTGGCATTAATTTTTTTTATATTTATCTTGTTTTTTAAATTACTTACCTATGTATGTATTTGATATTTATTATTGTAACTGTATCTTTATTACCTTAAGATAATATTGTCAGAATTGTTAGAGCAGAGGTCCCGTGGTAGCAGCGCGTGCTGTGGCCGGCTGCCCACGCGCGCGACCCCGCAACCGCCGACTAATTCAATTGGCCGCGCAAGTCTCACGTCGACGTCCCACAACCCATGTCGATAACTTTGTACCATATCGATAACTACTAAAATTGATCCAAACTTACCAACTCACAAAGACTAAATGATAACTAAGCAAGTAGTACCTTCTGACTGATATTAAACAAAATCTATATTCTATATTAAAATGTCATATAAGTTACACTGAATAATATAATAACGCTGTTAATTTTATATTTTTGATTACATTGTTTTATAATGAAAATGTTTAACTTGCATATCGAGTAGTATAAAGTGTGTGCAGTGTACATCACTATGATCTGATGGCCATCTCAGTTCGTGCGCGTCAATTATTTAACCTTAGTTGCGGTGCGGGTCACAAACATCAGCCGAGACCCCGCGACCACCCTCCCCCCTGCCCCCCGCCTCGCACCCCGCCACCACCTCGTGAGACTGAATCACGCGACTCTTGTTCTTCCTTATTATACAACACTGACATCATAATAAACAATATAGTCTGCTTAAAATGTTTATATTCTGGTGATTTATAACATGTTAGAGATTGTATATACGCTTTATAAAAAGGTAAGCCTGAATTTAAGTACTAAACAGATAAGGTCACAGTAATAACGAGGTTAGTTAACCTTTTTTAACGCAATTAACCAACAGACTTTAGAATTTTGCTTTGCTGCTCGGCGTTGCAAAGGTTAACACGTGGAAATACGCCTAATTGTAAATATTTGTTTTGAAGCACTTTACTTTGTTATACAACAGCTTTCTTAATATATGACCACAGCAAAAAATGCAAATTTCACACTTACGTACATAGGGAAATATTCAACAATAAGAGCGATAATCGCGTGCGCAGGTGTACTAAACATGTCTTCAATGTTGTCAAACATTGAATAAAATGTAAAACAATTGTTCAAATATTTTAACTGACGTCTTTTCAATAATCAAGGACTATAAATATTATGTATTAGGAAAAAAATGTTATTTTGCTTTGAATGTAGCGCGTGTAACTATGACTCATAGCAAGGGGGTAAACAGAGGCAAGATTATGAAAATCAAAAGTACTTTGTTATTTTAATGATTTGATATTTCTACTTCTACTTTTATTAATGGACTAACTAGAAATATTAGGAATGTAATTATATGAACAAAAGACATAATCTAGCTTAGAATTTAACCCGATCTCTGATGTCTGATAGTCTGATGAACTGACGTATAATACTAAGTATTTCTAAACCTTTTTTTTTGAAAGGTTCGTATATGAATAACAAAAGCCTAATATCATTATCGTGTGTCGTAGAAATGATCTACATAAGTGTTACACAATACATTAAAGCGGTCGCGTGAATCGATTCTCACTCGACTCTACTCGATTCGGGCGATACTATCGATATTTAATCGAATTAACTCTACATAGGATATCGATGCAAAGTATGCGACGGACACAAGGCAAGCGTCGAGTCACGGCTGCCTGACAACAAAATGTACGAAAAGTACAGATATGGTAAAAAATATTTGTTTAAACATATTCCATCATATATTATTTTCTTCTGTTACACATATAAAAGCATGTAAGTAAAAACATTAATGTATGGTGAATGGATGAATTCATAATACACGTAGCAGCAATACGTAGCTATTTCTATGGCTTTATTATATGATGTCATTTAATTTCTACCATTAACAATCTTTTATCAAATAATTTAATAAATTAATGTTCTCTCATCAATTGCCTTATCCATTATCGAATTGATTCGTAGTTCTTGTTAAACACACTTGGCACGTGTTATCTTCGTAGACTTCGCTATCTGATCTTGTCGAAGGCTCGCCCACTATCGATGCCCACTGTCCACTGTCCCTTGCCCATTGCCCACTGCCCACTGCCCCACTCTTCTCGGATCCAAATCACCGGGCCCTTTGTTCACGAATCCAGTGGAATCGTCGATGTATTTGTACGACATGAAGTAGACTGTCAATTTCATTGATGGAAATTAAATGTAACGTTTAAATAACTAATAAACAAATTCAATTTATGTTTTCTCACTATTTTTAAAGAAAATAATATCATCATAACGTATGTGTATTTGCCTCTAGAGTTTTTTTTCTCTCGTACTTTCGCATCTATTAATCGCATTGAGAAGGCTGATGAAAGCCGAAACATTCGAGGAAAAACTATAAACACCTAAGAACAATGGAGCTAAGCCTACGTATTTTTTAAACAAAATTACGAAAACTCTATATTTTGTTAAATTTTAATTAATATAATTTCACAACTCACTTTTACGTAATGACAATTTGTTTTGTTTTATTCATTAAAATATTTACTTTTATTCATTAAAATAATTGTCTGCATCATTAATAATTCATTGAACAAATTACGTTAATTAATATTGTGCAACTTAAATACTTATATAACCTAAGCTATTTAAAAGTAAAGCTCACACATATAGCTATATACATGTGTTATTTTATGATTATCAAATATTTATTAAACCTTTATATACGTTAAACATATAAAACCTTTAAGCAGTTATTATATTCCTAAATATTAGAAATAGATATAAAATAAGTAGAACTTCCTATTATTTTTTTTTATTAAAGACTTTTAAAACTGAAATAATTGTTATAATAAAAACTTATTATACAACAAACAGATTGCACAAGAACATCGTTAGTTATTACCCGTGAGTGCGTGGTGTGTCGTGTGTGGTGTGTGGTGAGTTGTGCGTTGTGCGGACGTCACTAATGACTTGCTGGTTGTAATCACTTTGCAATATTTACGTTAATCACAAGGTCGTTACACGACAACACATTGACACATTTATTATATATCTATCTATAGTTATCAACAGCTTGTATATAAATCTTGTCTTCGATCATATGTTCGTGTCTCAAAAGCACAATACCAAAAGCTCACATCTAGTTATCGCAGCGCGGAACACAGAGAAGTAAACACAAGCTTTCTCTAGATTTATAAGTTTTACAAGAGATATGCCGAATACATTGTGAGGAAAATATGTCTAAAGAATTCCACTAATAATTTACCAATATTCATACGTTTAATACTAATTACTAATTTACTTAACAAGAAATAATAAAGTCATTATTTTATTTATTACATTAAGTATCTATCTAGCTCAGAACCAGGAGACTGTTATCCCTTTTCTGTTTTTTATTTTTAATTCCGCGAACGAAGTCGAGTCATACAAAGATGTTAAGTCGGCTGAGTTGTGTCGCATCGCGTCGTGATAGCTATCAGATTACCTACACAACATTGATAAACAACGAATTATGTCTAACGTACATGACTCGCCAATTGCTAAGCTTATCATATCATAACTTCCCAGTTAAACTCACTCAGACTCCGCTGTTAAGCCGTGTTAATTAATCCCGGAATTCAAGCCGCTTACGAAACATACACATACGTCAGAAACAATATTTAATAAAAGAATTAATAAAGTTACAAACCGCAACCTAGTTGCCTGGAGTTGTGCTATCATAGCACCGGTGCAGCGGTCGCTAGCTGCTCGCTGCTCGCCACGCTCGGCTACGGCGGCGGGAGTCGGTCGGCCGAGCGGCGGGGAGCGGCGGGGAGCGGCGGGCGGCTCCTATGTATCGCAAAGCTCGCGCCGCCATTGGCCACCCCGCGCCCCCAAAGCTGCCGGGGCGGAGCGCACGCCGTCGATTATAAATACTGCTGCCCGCCTCCGCGCCCGCCAGTCTGCTCGCCGCTCGCAGTCACAGTGCACGTGCGCACCGCGCCTCTACTCTGTCGTTCATAGTGTTACACGAGTGCTCTATCATGGTGAAGTTCGAAGGAGATTTTAGTATAAACGCTATATTGATGAATCGCGAGGCGAGCAAGTCGCCCCCCTCGCCAACCGCCTCGGCCGCGTCCCCAGCGGGCGCTGCGCTCTCCGAGGCCGAGCTTAGTGATTCGGAGCTGGACGTAACCGGCACCGAGCCCGTCGACTGCTCCAAGCCGAAGTCGGATTCCGCTGACAAGAAGCATGAGAAGCCCGCCTACAGCTACAATGCTTTGATCATGATGGCCATCCGCAACAGTCCCGAGAAGCGGCTCACGCTCAACGGCATCTACGAGTACATCATGACCAACTTCCCTTACTACAGGGAGAACCGCCAGGGCTGGCAGAACTCCATCCGCCACAACCTGAGCCTCAACAAGTGCTTTGTGAAGGTGCCGCGCCACTACGACGACCCCGGCAAAGGCAACTACTGGATGCTCGACGCCTCCGCCGAAGACGTGTTCATCGGGGGCACGACGGGCAAGCTGCGCCGCCGTTCTGCGCTCAACGGCCGCGCACGCCTCGCCTGCTTCAAGCGGCCGCTGTTCCCAGGCGCCGCGCTGCCACCCGCCTACCCGCCCGCCGCCTACTCGCAGCTCGTCGGCCTCTACTCTCAGCTGCTCTACCAGAGGTACGCGCCGATGCAGATGAAGGCGTCCCCGGTGGCACCTGGTGCCCTGCACCCTGCTCTCCGCGGTGCCGACGGCCTGGGCTACTCACCGCTGCCCTACTCGCCTGCGCTCTACGCCTCCGAACGACTCGCGGCGCCCTTCCTGCCACCCTCGCCGCCCGCGCTGCGCTCACCACCCGCCTCGGGCGCCTCCAGCCCCGACCTGCCAGCCACGCACCTCGCCCACCCTGCACACCTCGCGGCCCACGCGCCCCAAAGCCACCACGCCCTGGCGCCTCACATCTACAAGCCGGTGCCGGTGCTGACGCGGCACTGACTGCATACGCGCCCTCTCCTCCTAGAGGCCGGGACGCTCCCGACACCGCTCGGGGTATCGAATCTGTGATTTAGTTTTAGTAGCGGCGGGGCCCGGCACCCAGCACTCGGCACCCGACACCCGGCACCCGGCACCCGGCGTCCGGCGCCCGGAACCCGGAACCCGGCGCTTTGCAATATTAGTAAAGTCGTTGTTCTCACCATTCCTGTCGTTTCTCCTTGTAAATTTTATATGTGTAAATATTTCCAAAGCGTATATTTATTGACGTATCTAGATTAAGGTTAATAAGATTTAATTAATAAACAAAGATAAGTTGCATTTAAAAATCTCTTTTCTTTTACCTCAACAACAAGATTTGATTATCAGATGACATGTGATATAACTCTTATCTGAGGGAGATGTTACGCGAGCTGACACATCGCACGGCAACTCACCAATGTTACATACATAATATAACTCTACTCTAGTTCTCAACAACAACAAACATTTAAATACAGTAGCAGTCCTGTCCTGACTACAACCAAAGGCCACCGAGCGCACTTGCGGTCGCTCGCTAACATTATATTTAGGCCTACAGAGCAAACGCTTCCATCACAACCTAATCTTTTAAATATTTTCAATACAGATAAGATCGTGGCAAAACATTTGTTACATAAATACAGTTTATCAAAACAAATGATATTGTATAATAATCCATGCTTTGAATGAATAAACAATAAGTGGAATTAGTTAACATAGAGTTTTAGTAAAAGGATTACTGAAGGGTTTACAGAACATCTCAGTCACGATGATATTGTGAACTTCACTTACACCTAGAAAGATAACATAACTCGAGCAAATACAAACGACGATAAGTTTTATTAAGATTTTCTTTAGCGAATAGTTCTTTCAATTTGAAAACAAACAAGCTTGCAACAATATCCAAACATGTGTAGGCTATTTCTGTTCACAGTGAACTTACCTCTGTCTTTTTTTATTACTTATGACCAAATTAAAGTCAAGCGTTAATTTAAGCGTTTAAAAAGACATTAGAAATTCAAATAAAATGCGAAATAAATACAAAGACAACATTAAATGATGACCTTGATTATTTAAATACTTACAAAATGAAGTCGCATGTAATTATTTACATTTGTAATTGTATTATTTTTGGGGGTTCCGCAGACTAAGATGGCAAAAACTGACTTGAAATACCTGAATAAAACGTAAAACTCCGAGTGCCAATTTGGATTGCATCTTTAAAAATTTCATGCGTCTGTACAATTAGTCATCTTAGAAGAACTAAAAAATAAGAATAACAAACAATTTTTTGTCTTAAATTTATTCAAACAACAGATAAGTAAATGAGAATTGAGAAAGAAATTACTTGATAATTTTTAATTTTATCTTTTTGACTGAAGCAATTTGTTCCCGAACTGGACGTTAGTACTTTACGTTTCTTTCTGTTATTATTTCCTATATTCTTGAGAAGTCGAAATAATTTACTATATGGAATTGAAAGAAAATTATCACTGGTATAAAAGATATTGGGTAATAGCAGTACTTTGTTTAACATATATTTCATACTATCTGCCGCCCGCGACTCCGTCCGCGCTGAATAAAATAAACTTAATTAGTCTATGTGTTTTTCAATACCATGTTCTACATCTGTACCAAATTTCATTGAGAGCGGTTCAAGATATAACTAATAACAAACATCCACGCTTCCGTCCATTTAAACTTTCGCATTTATAAAATTACTAAGATATGAATGTATTCGCTTTTCCTTTGAAAATAATTAATGTGTTTTAGGAAGGAACAGTATTCGCTGTCATTAGCAAATCTAAATTTATCTATAATGTTAAACCAAATTCAAAAAACTTTATTTTCGGACAAGAGAAATGTATGAACGTAATATAACACGACACGACATCAATACTTCATTATATTTACATATTAACATACAATAAGAAGTACATACATACATACGTATCAGTTTGCACAACGTATAGAATACAATACAATTAATTTCATATTATTAACATAAACAAGTCAATTTTTTTTTAAATTAATGCAAAATAATTACAATCAATGACCACGGAAATACATAACCCTTCACTGAATACATTTTGTATTTATTTTGCAACACCACAGTGACGTTGTCACGCAACATAACGCAACGTAAATAAACTAAACTAAACTAGGAACAAAAAACAATAACATTAATTTCTTTTAGTTTTAGTTTTCAAAGTTAGTCATAATTTTTCAACTTTCTCTGTTTATCTTTAATCTCCATTCGTTTAAATAATAATGTACACTTTTTTATCTGATCCCTAAACGGCTTTTGTTCAGAAATCATTCGAGCACGTCTTGTTAATAATAATAATACTACTAATCTTATAAATGCCAATGTTTACATGGATTGATGTTTGTTTGAAAGTATCTCCAAAAACGACTGAACGCATCTCGACAAAATTCGGCATTCATATAAAACATAGTCTGGAAGAACACGTAGACTAATAATTATTTTTTTTTCATTCCGCACGGACGGAATCGCGGACGACCGCTAGTATGATATAATTTTCCACTTTCCCTCATCAGAAATCTATCCTTATAATAAATGGTATCTTTATTTAACCGGTTTAAAATAATACAAAGTGAAGTCACATAAATTGTATCGTTTATACAACAAACGACAATTAAACGTCCGTTAATCGTTATTGTCTCAGTAATTAAGTTAGCGTCAGTCGGAAACTCTTTATTCGCAGTTAATTTTAACTGATTCACTTATTTAAATAGAACACGGTTAACCTTTTAAAGTTATCTCGCCGACGTAAAGCAGCGCCGGTTAATTAACGACTTTCGTTTCTGTTAACCATGTAGTTGGAATTACGTTACGTCTCTATAACCATATTCACGCTTATATATCAAAAACAGGTAGGCAGTCGTCGGTTTCTTTTCATATATATGTAAAAGCAATATGAGTCAATATTGTTTATGGCAATTGAGGATTTACAGAAACATTTTAGATAATAATATCAGTTTAATATTGTCTACCTGGGTATTAATTCTAGAATAAAAGTACCAAACGTTCAATAAATGAACTAAAGCAGTAAAAGACAATTATAAGTTGTCCTCCGTGTATTTGTGACATTACATTTTGGTCCGTTATTCAAACTTTGTATTTTTTATAATCCGCAGCTTAACGGAAATAGCACAAAGTAATAGTGAAGTGATACATCATGAAACATTCTATGAACTGTTGTCAGCCGTCTGACGATTTACACACAGCAACAACTTGATGCTACCTTATCATAAAAACTTTACATAAAATTGTGAAGCAACAGACGTAGCATCTTATTTAAAAATGTATGGCGCAAGTGGAGTTATAACAGCGATTAATATTAAATTTATAATTGTAACAATAAAAATTATATAATAAAGGAGATAGGACGCAATACTATTTAGAAAACCGTAAAAAACTTCAGAGAAAAAGAGTAGTAGAGTAATATGACTACTTAATACTTTTACAATAAAAACAAGCTGCAAATCGCACGACATACATATAATTTAAGTATAAGATCAAAGCAAAAGATGATGTTTTAGTTTTATATTTAGATATATGGGACCTTTGACAATGTCACACTTTAGAGAACTCTTTATTAATTCGATTGACTGTGATTGGTTGTAATGTTGTGTGTTGCAGCACATACTTGGGACACACTCCGACACGTACGGACAAACAAACGGACAATCAACGGCGTCAATGACGTCTCAGTCATCCATCACGCTGCTGTCTCTGACACAGCCGAGCTGACACATTCCGACCCCCCTCCCCCCGCTCTCTGACATTCTGACAGCAACTACCAACCAAGTCACAACATCACACAAACATGTTTAATTATATCAGTAGCGGTGGGATTTTTGCTAATTACTGTGGTTAGGGTAACCAATGTGCCAAATTGATGAATGATAACGCGGTTAGATTGGTGTCATATTTGACCGGTCTTGTCTCTATTTATAAGACAAAATATAGTTATAGCTAAGATTAGGAAAAAGCAAAATGTGACGTTTTTCATATTATGTTATGTAATTTAGTTATTCACGGCGCCACTATTTTAGTCACAAGATCGTTAAGCGTAAATCAATCATAGAAAATAATAAAGCAAGTTGTTAAATAGCATTTAGCGAAGCGCGTCACACAATGAAAATCGTTAAGTGATACTTAGTCACAATTTAGTGTGAATTACTAATCAACTGTTTAACTTAATCTAACGTTTAACGAGTTTAAATACTGTTAGTCTTTGTTAGCACCTGTAAATCTTTTGTAGCTTGCACCTTTACTGGGAATTATAAATATTAAAGCACAATATATCATACTATAATACATTTGGATAAGACAAGTGCAACGAATTTCATTGTTCACTGTAACATTGACGATTGATGGCATTCTTACTGCTAACTTATACACGATTGAATATTGAAGTAGATCGAAGAAGAGCGATGAGCCCCCGGGGAACTGTGCTGTGAGGTCCCTTCAGTGTGAACCACCGTGCGACAAACAGACACACAGCACAGCGCGTCAACAAATCAACATGTTTGATCAGAATTGCAATATTAATGATGTTACGCGTCTCTTTTGGTATGATCAACACTCAACGCTTGTATTATTAATTGTAGATCTTTTCCATAATACGATGTGGAGCGGAGTTATGGCAACCCAATTTTTTTTTGTATTTTCATTTTAAACTAAAAGGAAATGTAAATCTACAAGGTAAATGCCTTAAATAACAATCACAGTTTAACATAAATTCTATTAATGTAATTACTTCTACAAGGTTCCAACATTTATTAATATTTTATTCATTACGCAATGTATTCAGGCCGATATCGGCAGGGATCTATCCCGGTACACATGTTGTGGATTTCGACTAGTACCCGCTGTCCTGATAGGTATATTTATATGTCCTTAACGTGGTTTTTGAAGATTTAGTATGATATTCTGCAAATGCCACGTTATTAACACGATGGGAAAAAATATTCCGGAAGTATGAAGACTTGATTATTAAATAATTAAAACATATTAAGCTGTAAGTTAGTTACTAAGTTTATGTTTAATTTAACTAACTTATACTGACTGTGAGTCGATTAACGATTAAGTAACAAGTTGAATGAATATTTAACGTCGTTTTAAAACATATAATATAGTAGGGTCTTATCAGAGTATCCAGCAGCCGCTCCGGCCGGCGCTCGCCACCACAATAATGACAGAGCGAGAGTAGATATATGAAGAGATGTGATAACACGAGATAACACAAATATTTTCTGTG